CTGTGGTCCGAGATAGGAGGGGCCAAGCTCTCTGTGGCCGGCTACAAATGAGTTCCCAGTTGAACTGTTCTGTAGGGTTCCCCTGTAACCCCCTAGCAAGCCCCTCCAGGTGGCACTAAAAAGACCAAACATTGATTTGGATCCAGAACACCATCTGCTGAATAGGAATTCACAGCAAGCCGTGTGTAACTGTAGCCAACATGTTCACTAAAGCTGTGGTCCTGCTGTCACCGTCCTGCCATCACATGCTCGGAGAGATGATACCAGCAGCTTTCTAGGGAGTGCTTAGTCAATATACAGATGTGCCGCACATCCAAGAATTGCCTGAATAGGTCTGTCAATCGATTGTCTAACTCTCTGCGACACAGGGAATTTCAGGCAGAGAGATGCCATTGCTGAGCAGATGCATGGTCCTCCCAGTGTAGTATAAAGTCTGAAATGAGGGCTAGATTCTGAGCCACGCATGCACAGCGAGTAATTTCTTTACTCCAGAGTAGCTCCAGTGACTTAGTTGGATCAGTCATGGGGGGGTCACCTGAATACCTGCCATTTGCAGTATAAGAAGTTGTGCAAGATTTGCATTTAAGTAGCAGACCTAATAAAGCTAGTTGCTTCTCTGCGCTCTTCTCTGTGGACTGTGCAGGCAGCTTCCATCTGTGGGTACCTATAATACCTTCCTGCTTTAATTAGAGGAGCTGAAGCCTCTCCATAGGCACGCGGTGCCCATGCTGGCCAGATTCCATCTGCACTGCAGCCCCGACAAGATTTTTTAAATATTGCTTGATCTTGTGTATCTGCTGCTATCGTGCCCCGAGGCTTTTCTCTCTTTCTCTTTTGTTTGATCCAGTTTTAAGCCATCACTGTTTCTTGCTTCCTATCATTTATCAGTCAAAGGGAGGTGGAGAGAAACCCATGATAAATGCAGGCTGGCTGAGAAATAGAAAGTATCCATAGTGAAATATGGTGATGCTGAGAGGCTCCAGCTGGGGCCAATGCCCCACTGTGCCAGGTGCTGTACAGGCAAAGGATGAACAATGTAAATAGATGAAGGAGCTGCTGACATCCCATTTTACAGCTGGTGAGGTGGGGTGAGTGAGGCACAGATAGGTCAAATGACTTTTTCAAGGTCACACCAAGTGCCTGTGGCAGAGACCAAAATTGACTGCAGATCTTCCGAGCCCCAACTGTTAGCTGCCTTTCTTTAAGGTAGGTCCTCCGACAAGGCGACTGTCCCCTCCTCCCCCGATCAGGATGGTTTACTGAGGACAACAGGAGTCCTTTCTCCTCTGTACTGCAACAGGGAGCTGTACAGATGAGCCTTTGCTTACAGCTGCTGCTCTTGCCCAGGGTGCTACAGCAAAGGATGCCCTTTTGGACCTTGCAAGTGGGCAGAAGGGAAACGGGGGGGGTGGTGAAGTTCACCACAGTGGGGAAAAGCAGCAGCAGAGTCACCAAGTGGAAATGGCACCAAATGTAGCTACCCTCCCTCTGCGAAAAGGAGCTAGTGTGGCGTCTGCTGACCCTCAACCAGTCACGGAAGCCAAAGATCCCATATACGCACCAAATAACTGCCAGCGGGATCAGCAGCACCACTGAATCCTGCCTCCCGATTGACATTTCACCAGTGCAAGACCTGCACCCATCTCTGATAGCATTTTCCACTGCCAGGAAAGACTAGAGCAGGCACTGCTTGTTTGCAGAAGCTCCTGCCTGTCCGTCTGTCCGTCCGTCTAGCTTTCCAGGTTCTTATACCACGAAGGATACGACTTTTGAGTGCTCCTGATCCCGTGTTGAGCATTTTGCACAGCTCGTCTGAAACGCACGTTCTGTTTCCAGTTTGGGATCTTAAACACTTAAATTTTTTTTATTCTTTATTTTCTTAAAGGCTTTGCAGTTCATCACTGGCAGAGCCGGGGAAGTTGCTGGCTCCGCAGATGGATGCCGTCCAACCCAGTTGAGTTCAGGGAACACCCGCAGTCCGAAGGCCATTGCCTCCGAAAGCGTTGCCCCCTCCTCTGCGCTGTGTGCATGCCCCCACAGGACTATATTTGGGATAAATATTCCAGGCCATCGCCACAACCTGACAGTTGGAATTTCTTTTCCGATACCATGTAAACACTCCTTCAAAATAAAAGATCCAGATTCCCAGCTTGCAAATGTTGACTCAACCCTGTGCGATTAAACAGGAATCAATGTCCGAATGCCCTCCACCTATGAACATCTGCGGGTCCCATTCACAAGGCTGCTGGTTTTCTGTAATCTTTTAACCTGTTCAAGGTATTTAAGTATACAGCAGGGACTCCAAAACTTTACCCGACTCATTGGCTGCCGTGGAGATTTGTGATGTTCACAAGGGCTACGCTGACTTGATGCAGAATAGAGGAGCGGGACATGGGAATGAGCAAGGTGGTGCATTCCGCGTAGGGACCTGTAGTCTGCAGGTGGCAGGCATCTGCATCGAAGTCGAGGGAGGCCACAGGTTGGGTAGCTGAGCAGCTGCAGCCCTGGGCACTGTGGACACCTGCACGGCTGTCTTGTCCAGCAGGTTCCAGGTGATTCTGCTTTCCAGGGTTTGGGGAGCCTTAAGGTGATTAGGAGCTCAGGTAATCAAGAGACAACCCAGCTGTAGAGAAGAGCTACTTGATGCAAAGCAGGTACAGTCTCAGCTACTTGATGCAAAGCAGGTACAGTCTCGGCCTTCGTCAGTGGTAATTGAACCTAGGGTACCCAGCACCAAAAGCCCAACTTTCTTCTGCTTCGGTAAAGAAGCCCCTGTTGTAGCTCTCCACAAGTGGGAGGCTTTCTCTTTGGGGCCGACCACTCAGCCAAACAAGGACTTTTGTCCAGATCTTTATGAATGTCACAGTTTCTCCCTCTGCCTCCTCCCCTTTCTCTTGCCCTGTTTGGCTGGCCCGCTTTTGGGAAGCCAAGCTGCTTACTCGTTTCTTTTCTCTGCTTCTTCAGCCTCTCGCATGCAGCCTTTGGGGCATAGCTTCCTCTGCTCGCCCATTCAGTTAACTGGGGTTTGGCTTATAGCTGCTTCTGCTAATGGGAAAATGCTATATGGCCAAGTCTGCGTTCTGTAACTGCACCACCCGCTCCGCCTGTCCCAAAGCTATTTACTCACTTCAGAGAAGTGCTGGGACACCGGCATTAAACGCTGAAAAGATCCTGCAGTGCGGATGTATTGTAAACACAGCCGGAGAGGTATGTTTTTCTCGCGCGGCGCTTTAGCACCGTACAAAGGAACAGTTAGGGTCAGACACCTCAAGAATGTGCTAGAGTTGAACAAAACTCCTTGAGGCCACCATGTTGCGACTAGAGAAATAAGTGAGATCTCAAAACATTGTGAGTGCGAGTGTAACAGTCTGGCTATGGCAGTTTGCCGTTTCCCTTGTGTCTACAGATTGAATCTGGGAAACATCCTGGAGAAGAGGCCAACCCTAAGGCATCTCTCTTCAAAGGGGAGGAGAACCTGGTGCTAATGTGAAACGGGAATGCTAGAGTTGCATCTAACTGATCCCTTTCTCTTTTTTTGTTGTTGCATGCCTTTGTGTCCGCCTAGGCTTGAAAACATTGGGAATGCCCACTAGAGGGACACAGAGAAATTCCTTTTGTTCAGTTCCAGGTACCAAACTTCTTTATGTGGATTTGTTGCTGATTCTCCTGGCTGCAAAAGTCATGGCTTTTGTGTCAATCTATCCCGCTACAGCTCAGATATTTAATAATCCTTCTACTCTGTGGCAAGCTGGGGGGGCTTGTGCCCCTTGGAGTCTACTTAACCTTACAGTCGGTTAATGTTTCAACCCATGCTAATTTGGATTGGGAATGAAGAGCAGCATCATTTGTTCAGGGAAAATGCCCCTAGGATGGGTCACAACATAGTTAATAGAAAATTAATGTGCTCTTAATGTGTCATTCTGGAAAGTGCTAGGAAGTGACATTTTTCTGGTCCTCCCCCCCACTCAAAAGTTTTACATTGTTCTGTTGATTTGGTTGTGTAATGTGTGGTGCCAGCACACCAAAATAATGCTGTAGCTGCTGTATTCAGCATAGTTTCTTAAACGTTATAGTCATATTCTAGTCAAGACACCATGGGGAAAACATGCTATCATTTTGTCATGCAGGTACCAAAATAAAAAGATAATGGTTCACAGAGTGCAGGATTCCTGTAAGAAACCAGATAGAGACCATTTTGAAGGCAGAATTCAGTGATTGCTCAAACCTTAAGCATGTGCTTTAACTTGAGCACTTGCTTAAGTGCTTTGTTGCCTTGGGAAGAAGCTTTAAAGAAGGCATATTCAGAAGTTGGGTGTCCCCCCGACCAAGGTCTAATGTCCTGGAAAAAATTCTGTTCCAATTGCCAGCTGGGACTAAAAAAACCCTAAAGAATCAGCCCCCTAGACTCCTTCCCAGGTTTTACATGAGACTCAAAGCAGGTTAGGAAGGGACCTTGAGAGTATTAGGGAGCAATGCATAATTCCCCTCCAGTGCTTGTGTGTTCAGTAAGGCTTTTCCTTGATGGTGACACTCCCACAAGGATTCTTGTCTCATACAGATCCCCTTTTCCCAGACACAGCATCTGAGTCAATCAGATAAGTTTGCTGGCAACAGCAAAATATTGGTACCAGGCTCTGGGATCAAGGGGAGAATTTTAGTAAGGATGGGAGTGGCTGTCTTGAAAAAGAGCAACCTTGGGAACCCCTAGATTGAAAAAGGGATTGTGTCTCTGGCCAAGCTAGTATCACTTCCTTCATTATCATCTTCTTCCATAAAATTGGGGTTAAGATGGTGACCTCCTTTATAAAGCTCATTGGGGTACACAGGTGGCAAATCTCAGAGAAGAGCTGGATTTCATTATTATTTCCTGTTTGTGCCTTGGCTTCCTTAATCCCGGCGGGTGAGAAGGATGGGTTGAGTCCTCCTAGGTCCTTCCCAGCTTCTGCTCGGAAAGGGCTGTTGGTTTCCTTGACTGAGCTCCTATGTACCTGGTTCGAAAGGGTCAGCATGCTGGTGATTCTCCTGAACTGTGTGACGCTGGGCATGTTCCACCCCTGTGAAGATACTGCCTGTGGCTCCCCACGCTGCAGGATTCTCCAGGTATGGACCTTTCCTCGCTGACTGTTTCTAATTGAATGGAGGCCTTGGAAGTGCCTTGGAAGGTTTCCCACTTGTCAGTGTTCAGAAGCATTGTTAGGTTTGCAAAAGGAAAAGCCCCATTTCTGTTCACAGATGCAGAGAGAGAAAATGAGCGTGATCCACGCGATACCAAAATTCACTTCTGCCCATGTGTAAAAATGCCCTAAGAGCCTTTACGAGCCTGGGCTGTTGCCTACACTGAGGATTTCAGGTGTCAGAGGGCTGTCATGCCAGCGTGTGTGCACTGGTGCAAACTCTTGATGTCAGGCAAGGCCACTGTCCTAATGAAACTTAAACCTTCTGGAGGACAGTAGGACTTTTGAAAAGAGCTGGGTTATAGTTTAGGCATAATTTAAAATACTCCCTCACCCCAAAGTGTTGGTTCCTTCTCTTTAGGACTGGAGGCCCATTGATTGAACTGTGTGCAGGGAGGTGCACCGTTGCTATCTGAGCTGTACCCATTTGTGAACTTAGACCTCAGCATCATTAGTCAGAGCTTCATAAGAAGACTCATTGACTTTAGTGGGCTTTGGATCAGGTCCTCAGTACCTTCCATCAGCCCTACTAATTTCAGAAACAGCAGTTGAGGGAAGTTGCTGGGGAATCTTCCTTGAGCTCAGTATACAATATAAAGTCATCTCCTCCCAAAGTCTCTCTTCTGCCTGGGTCTATATTGCTCCGTTTGGGCCATCACGGATCAGGAGACTCATGCTTGTACCCATGTAGCATGTTCTTCTCTTTATCGCAGTGAGGCAGACTTCCATTTTTCTTTTTCTTTTTTGCCGTGCTGTAGTTCAGGGGGTGGGCACAGCTGTTTTTCTTCTGAACTCATTTTGCTGCTTTGTTTTCTAGAGCTTCGATGACTTCATCTTTGCCTTCTTTGCTGTGGAAATGATAGTCAAGATGATTGCACTAGGGATCTTTGGGAAGAAGTGCTACTTGGGAGACACGTGGAACCGCCTGGATTTTTTCATCGTCATAGCCGGGTAAGTCAGGAAAGCTACGGGAGACTGGAAGTTGGTGCTGTAGGCAGCCCTCAGTGACAATCTGCTGCACCGTTTGGCTAGCTTTGTCTCAGAGGACAAAGAAAGCCCACGTTGGTTAATGCTAAGGCCCAACTATTTCTAACATGTGCTAGGATGATTGTGGTTATCAGTTTTTCTTTTCCCAGCGGGGACAGCGTCCTAGACTGTAGCTAGAACAAGAGGCCGCTGGCAGCTTCTCTCCTGCAGTGCATCATACAAGACATCGTCTTTTCCCCTGAATTTTCACGTTCCTGCTACCTCCTTACTCTGCATCTGCCTGGTAACTAGGACAATTGCAACCAGCTGTGGCAGTGCTAGTGTTAAGTTTACAGACAGCAGCAACAAAAGAGAGAGTGGAGGAATGTTACAGAAACGGTTTGCCTTTGTTCTCCGCCAGCCTGTGTGTTTTCCATACTGTAAGATCTCTCGCTCAGCAGCTCTGGGCGGACTCAGCTGGCACTCAGCTAAACTATTTTTCTGGCTCCAGAAATATTGGTAGTTTCAGTTTCATGCAGATTGCCCAAATGGATGAGGTTTCAGCAGCTCGTTTAAAGCAAGGGCCTGGGTTCCAAGAAGAATATTTCAGTGAAATGTGCGTGATTGCCCTTTTTTATTGTTGAGGGAAAGCAACCAAGTTTGCCTTTCATGAGTGTTTTCCTTTCAGAGGCACCTGGTTTAAATTAAAGGCTCCTCTAGCACCCGAGAATCCCCTGGCCGTGGCTGGAAATCCACATGAAAAGTTCCTGGGCCACAGCCAAAGAGTTGAGTTTCCTTGACACATTAAATGCTCAGAGGCCCTTGCCTCACCTCCCTGCTCACTCGGAGAGCCCAAAGACATTTGGGAATCTGGCAATTTTTTCCCCCTTCCATTATGTGTATAATTAACCGGAATTTCCTGGAATGGATTGGAGGATCCTAGAAATAAACCACAACTGCGTCATTTCCCAGGTTGGGCAGTTGGCAGCGAGCTCGCTGGCTACTAGAAGAGAGCTGTGTGTTTGCGCTTGGTGCATGATCCATCGCTGCGTCTCCTTGCCCTGCCCAAGTTGATAGCACAAGTACGTGCAGGTGAGCGCGGGCTGCTGGTAGAGGCTAGGGGAACACGGTGATGAATCTGAAAGTCAACCGATCTTGTGCCATGTGCAATTAGACCCTGGAGCTCCCTGCCACAGGATGTCATTGAAGCCAGTAAGTTTCCGAGATCAAAAAAAAAAAAGGGATTGGACTCCGATATGGAGCACACAACTATTCAGATATTAGCAAATGAAGAAAAAACATTTGGCAAGAGATGTTGTGCTTCGGGGTTTAAGCCAGCTCTAACTGCCAGAGGTAGGGGTTTTCTTGCACTTCCTTCTGGAGTATCTTTTCCTGGGCACTGTCACTGGCCCCAGAGGCAGCTACTGGAGACATGGAGCCTGGGTCAGATCCTATGTGCAATATAAAAAAAACCCACTGGATTGTAACAAAGTCCTCCAGCACAGTTGTTCTTGTCATCTGGATGGGCCCTTATGAGTGTGAATTCTTAGTGCAGGGCTGCCATAGGAAAATACTCTCATGTTGGCCACCAGGACAGGTGCTTGTGTTGGATAAATAGATAAATACTACCCGGACAGGTCAGAGCTGAATAAATAGATACTACATAGTTGGTGAGGTGGCTTCCTGGATGTTCATCTGTCACAAAAAGAGATCCTACACGTTCCCCTCGAGAGACTCATGGTGTTGAAGTAAGCACAAGATCAGAACCTGAGAGTTTTAGGAGGTCACTGGGACCCTGGAAAAAAAGGGGGAGGGTGCAGTAAAGTCTTCCTTGCAGCTTGCCTGGGGCTTGTTTTACACTTGTGTTTATTTCTAAACTTCTGGAGGTAAAACATAATTTTGTCTGAGCCCCATTCTGCCTTAATTTACATGAATAAGGCCCCCCAAAAGTGTCCTACCAAGTGTAGCTGAAGATACAATCTGGCCTCTTATAAAAATCCCCCGGCTACCTACATTCTTTTCCTGTAAGTTCCCATTACCTAGGACAGCGAAGGGAGAAAATTGCAGAGACTATTTGCGCACACACCTTGGCCAAAGCATTTACACGCTTTTTGCCAGCGTAAGTATAAGTCCTTGAAAATTGGTGGGGCTTCATCTAAAGCCCGCTGGAGTCATTGGGAGTCTTTCCACAGTCTTCAAATCAAGCTAGCTTGGTGATTTTCTTGGTGTTTGGGCTTTTTAGGGTGGGGCCTGTCAAAGGGAGATTTTTGTTCAACGTTTTTTCTTAATTTTAACAATGCGAGGTGACATCAAAGGGGAAATTAGGTGTGAGCAAACCTACCAGTTGAACGGGGATGGGACCATGCAGGTTCTATGTCATTTACTTAATAAGCATAGTTGGAGGTAGTGTAGATCAGTGGTTTGAGCACTGGGTGCTTCTCCTAGCTGGGCCACCAACTCTCTGTGGGATCAGGGGCAAATCGCTAATGCTCCCTGTGCCTTTCTCTCCTCTCACCCGTTGTCTGTCTGGTGTATTCGTATTGCAAGATCATCGGCGCTGGGGCCATCTCGTATGCGTGTTTTTTCCAGAGCTTGGCATTCAAGGGCTCTGGTCTCTGCTGGGACCTGCAGGTGCCCTGGCAATATAAACAGCATCATAAACCAGTGGATCCAGGATCTCAAACTGAAGAGGAAAATCATCTGCCAAGATCATGGTTTGGGCACTCCAGTTTGCATTTAATTACCCAAGTAGTCCCTTTCTTTTGTGGCCACCATAAAAAAGAAAACAAAAAGAGTATTATCTTCTTCAAGACACACACACGGCAGCATAGATACTGGTGCAGAACACCCGCCTTTTATTCCCCCAATTCCCAGGCTTTGTTAGCACACATGGGGCATCTGCTGCAGAGGTTTTGCAGCCTTGCAGTTTGACCAGCTTCATGACTCCTGCCAGGTCAGCTTTCCCTCTTGCTAAATGATTGCTCTTTTCTTTATGTGCATGAACTGTTCCCATCTGGGCTCTGTCAAAACCAATTCAGCTGACAAAGGATCGAACTAACTTTAAATACAAAGCAGGATATCTCTTT